ATGTTTTTTAAGTGTACACTGTGACAAAGATAAAGACCACAGTTTGTGAAAAATCTTTGCAATGTTAAAAGCTGACAAAGGACTAAGAAACTCAAGAATATTAACCAAGAAAAGACAAAAATTCTATTTTTAAAAATAGGCACAAGATTTAAACAGATAATTTATAAAAATGGTCACTCAAAAAACTAATACAGTTATGAGAGGATTCTTAAACTCATTATTAATTAAAGAAATATAATTAGAACATTGGACGAGCTTACAGATTATCTCATGTGTCTTTATGCAGGAGATCAATCACCTATGTCCACATGGCCACACTGGAGTTCTTAGTTCTGCTAAACTCAAGGACAAACAGAGCTAGGTGACTCAGCCAAGGTGAAGGCTGTTCCTTGAGTGCGCAGCTACTTTGACTTTTCTCTTAAACCTATTTTCCATTTTTATTCCAAGCACTGCTTTTACATGATTCTTCAAAAACCCCTTTGGAGAAAGTATGCTTCCACATTTAAATAATCAGAATTATACTGTGTCTAACAACCCTGAAATTCTTGGTTTTTTAGTTTCCGGCATTACTTCATCTAAAGAGAACTCAGATAAAAGAGAAGTAGCATGAATATTAAAAATACATCTTGACGAAGAAACTAGGACATGAAGAGACTCAGTAGTGCATCCAAGGCTACAAAAATAATAATCAGGAAAGCCAGGATTTGAACTCAAGGGTTCTGACATTAGAGACCATGTTCTTGATCACAGATTTTGAAGTGGAGTCATTGAAAGAGACTCTAAATTGCTAATAAAGAGCTCTTTTTACAAATTTTGGTTTTTATTAATTTATTATTTTATCAACCTTACTCTTTGTCAGGCACAGCATTGAACACTGGGGCTACAAAGAGGAAACTCACAGCTTAGTGGAGAAGACAGGCTAAGCAGTTATTATACTATTTTGTGCCTACTCAATTCAGCACGATAAGTGCCCTAGTGAGAACATGTCAGGCTATTATGAGACCAGAGAGCAGGAGCACCTAATTTAGCTAGGAAAGGCCCTAAAAACTTTCTGAAGAAACAGCCAGATGAGCTAGAGTTAGCCGTGAAGGGGATTGGGGAAAGTGAAACAAATCCAGGCAAGTAAAGACAATGCAGACGAAGGCATCAGGAGTTTAGTGCTTCGAATCATAGAACGCAAGGTGGAAAAGAGGTTGAAATAAAGAAAGGATAATGGCAAACTGAATTTAATCCCATAAGTGAATGGGATTATAGAGTTAAAGATAGGCGAGTCTCAAAAACCTGGATATATTTTAAATAAAGTTTGGGTAGCAGGTTAGAAACTGATTTGAAGGTCTGTTAGTCAAAATAAGCTAAGCTGTGCTGTGGTAACAAATAAATCTACAAATCTCAATGAGCTAATGCAATAATGGATTATTTCTTAAATATCCAAGGCTGGAGAGCCCTCTTCCACCTGGTAGCTATACCATCTAGAGTGTGTGTACTTCAAGGTTACTGCAGCAGAGGAGAGAGGGCTGCAGGATATTGTGGGATGTTTTCAAGCACTGAAACAGGATGTGGTGTTCATTGATTTCTCCCATATCTCATCTTTTAGGAACCTGCAGCATGACCCAGCATAGCTCAAGAGGCTTTAGGCAAGCACTTGAGTGTCTACTATAGAATAGAACACTCCTTTCTCTTATGACAGACCATCTATTATGATAGACCAAATATACCTATAAATTGTTATTGTATTATGTGAGAAGAATTATTGTTTGTTCATTTATTCAATTCATTCACCAAATGCTTTCTTGAGCACTTACTATGATCCAGGCATTCACATAAAAATCAAGGGGTCCAACACTATTCCTGTGGGTAAACTCTTACTTAACTCTCCATTTCCACGACGACATGTGCAAAGGACAGAGTAACAGAGTTAATGGAGCAGAAGGTGTAATATGGGCCAGATCCTGCATCTTATAGGCAATCATGAGGACTCTGAATTTGACTGAAAAGAAGGGACTTCAGAACATTCTGTGCAAGAGAGGGATATGATCCTACTTACTTTTTAAAGGATCATTCTTGCTGCTCTACTGAGAATAGACATAGAATGGTAGGGTGCAAGCCGTGATCTCTATTAATAAACTATGGAGTAATCCAAGTGAGCAATGGTGGTGGCTCAGATCAGGATGGAAGCATGGAGCTGGTGAAAAGCAGTCAGATTCTGGATGTATTGTGAAGACAAGGCATTTCGTTTGAAGATAAAGTCATCAGAATTACAGGACAATTTAGATATGTGGTGTGAGGAAAAAAGGTCTTGCACTCCCAAGAGAACATTGCAGTCCACTGAGGGGAGATGAACCTTTATCATTAAAACTTTTCTGAGATGGTTTCAGAAGGGCTCTAGAGAGAATTAGTTTCCTAAATTATTCAGAACCAATAGATGCTTCCTTTAGAATTTCAAATGATAATGTTATTTATGGAAAGGTCTTTTTCTTAGACGGAAAGGTTAGCTCCAAATACTCCATTTTCCCATGCTCACAGGATTTCTTTTTTTTTTTTTTTTTACTTTATTTTACAGAGAGAGAGAGATCACAAGTAGGCGGAGAGGCAGGCAGAGAGAGAGGGGGAAGCAGGCTCCCCGCTGAGCAGAGAGCCCGACGTGGAGCTCGATCCCAGGACCCTGAGATCATGACCCGAGCCGAAGGCAGAGGCGCAACCCACTGAGCCACCCAGGCACCCCTGCTCACAGGATTTCTTATACAATCTGTATAGATCTCTCTACCTAAAAAGAAGACTAACTGGTTGGCGAACTACATAAATGTCTTTGTTTTTAAAGCCAAGTTGGCAAATATTAAGCTAAGCTCAATTCATTTTGATGTGACACCTCATTTACTTTCTGTTAGGGACATGTTTGCTTTCTGGGACCTGCCTGTATTTCTATATCTTTTATAAAAATAAAACTCTTCATGCTATTTATTAATCAATAGTAGTAGGAGAGTAGAAAGACAGTAAATAAGGTATGCCACATTAGTGATTCGGTTCATCCACTGGGTGGGAATTAGTAGAACAGCAGGTCATATTTAAGTTGAATTTGATGAAGGCAGAGAATGGGGAAACATTGAGATGTACATGACAAATAAATGCATGGATATAAAACAGGATGGCCAATTCATGAAAATAATAGACTTTAGAACTCATGAGAGGGGACAGTGGATTTGGAGTTATAAGGAGTAAGAAATTGAGGCCAACAAGGTTTGGTAAGATTGATTACGATTTATGTATCAATAACATACCTGGTAAAACAGTTAAGTTTCAATTTTAACTTTTAGTTAAAATCAAGACAGTGAGGATGCCTGGGTGGCTCAGTTGGTTAAGCAACTGCCTCTGGCTCAGGTCATGATCCTGGAGTCCCAGGATTGAATCCCACACAGGACACCCCACACAGGATGCCCCACTCAGTGGGGCGTCTGTTTCTTCCTCTTATCCTCCCTCCTCTCATGCTCTTTCTTTCACCCTCTCTCTCAAATAAATAAAATCTTTAAAAATATAAATAATAATAAAAAATAAAGACAATGAGATTGAAAATGTAAAAGAACTGAAGAGCCTTACCGGAGGAAATTTGTAGAAAATGGACAAAGGAAGCCATTAGAAAGCCACCCAATGGAAAAGCACAGTTGAGAGACAATTTGATCATTAGAAATCCAAGAGAACTAAGTTGCTAAACTACAGCACATCTAGCAGGAATAATAATCTAAAGCTATGAACAATTATGTGGTTATACGTTGCTTTCTTATAAAATGATAAACTCCATTTAAGTTTTTTCTCCTACTAAGTTTAGGAAGTCAGAAAGTTTTAATACCCAGCTTGAAACCTAGCTTAAAAGACACTCACTTGCTTTCATCCACTGTATGCTATCTAGTTCCAGCCCCACTCAAGTAACCAAGAAGTTCCAGAGGCAAATGTGAAGTTTTCAATATCAAATGGAGTGACTGCTTTCTTCAGGAAAGTGGACAGGCAATAAATACATATTAAGAAGCCATCCCTAAACACTAGAAGTCTTTGAAGTGATAGCAATGCATAAACCATAGAGTGCATTAGAAAACTCGAATGTTGTAAACAATGTATCACATATAAAGAGGGAAGCAATGTTTATGAAATTACATTACCAACAAAGGATTCGTATTCAGAATCTATTTTAGAATTTGTTTACAACTTAATAAATAAAAGACAAACCCACAGAAAAATCAGCAGAGGATTAATAGGCAATTCACAGAAAATAAAACTGAAGCGTTTATTGTGCATATGTGAAAATATGTTCAAACGGACTAATATGAGTATTTATCTCTGAAGGAAGAGGAGGGAGGAAAATTCCATTTGGAAAAGGCACAAAGGGGAAGGTTGCTTTGTGTGTAACATTTAATGCCTTCAGATAACAAAGAACAGAGCAAATATTACTAAATGCTAACATTTGGTGATATTGGTGGCAATAATATGTACGTTTGGCTTGCTTTCTCTATTTTCTTGTGTATTTTTGAAATATTCTTTAATAATAAATTTACATGTATGATGATTTTACCATCCATTATATAAATATTTCCACATCTATCACTTTTATGAGGTAACATGATAAGGAAGGCAGTTATGACTTAGGGGAAGAACATAAGAGTCGAGCTGGAGTCCTAAATTCTAGTTCCAGATCTGCCACTTGACCACTGTGTGACCCTAAGCAAATCACTTAATTGTTCTGAAACTGATTCCTCATGTGAAAAACTTAAAAACAAAACAGAAAGAAAACCAATATCTATAACAAAACCAAAATCAATAACATAAAGTTATTTTAAGTGGTGAATTATTTCATGTAAATGAAAATGATGTTCATATGTGAAGAAAAGATATTGGGACTTCTCAAAACCCATAGTTAATGTGAAATTAATTGAACATATTTTCCCATTTAGTGTCATTCTAAACTTACAGAAACATACATTAGAAACAGAAAGGAAACATATATCTTTTCTTACCGGGTCTATTAGCTGAGAATAGAGTTCATGGCAATTGTCAAAAATATATTTGTACGTAGAATCCAAGCATGCTCTAACACAGTCCTTCACCACCATGCTGGCCTTTGGGGGGCTTTGCAACTCCAGAACCTGACAGACAAATTTTTTCCTTAAGTTCAAAAATAGAAGATTGCAATCCAGTATAAACAACTTAACCTCAATAACTGTTTTTAGTTGCTTTTTCTATGTTCAGGAAAAATGTGGTCTTAGCAATGTTTTAAACGTGTAAATATTTACTTTAACTTCCTGATACAACTCAATGAAAATGATCACAGTTGTAAATATTCAGCTAGAAGCTCTTAGAGTGACTAATCACATTATTCATCCACCTATAATTTGCAATAATTCAATAGTTATCACCTACTGTATGTGTGACAATGGTTATATTGCAATGAACAAAAGAAATAAAAATCCCTTTCCTCATGGAGCTAAATTCTAGTAGATAACAAAATTAATCAATAAAATATATGATGCTCACTGAAAAGAAAAATAAAGCAGAGAAAAGGGGATGGAAAGTGTTTTAGTGGAACAGAATTAAAACAGAGGATACAATATTAGGTGAGTTCAGAGAAGTAAAAGGATGGGACTAGGAGGAACATCTGTATCTAGACCATTTTACAAACCTTAGCTTTGAGTAAGGTGGGAAGCAATTTGACATTTCAGCAGAAGAGCAAAATGACCTAACTGAACTATCTTTTAAAAGGTTCCCTTAGGCTACCTAAGGTGGGCTATGGAAAAAGTAGAGATACCAGTAATGAGGACAGCACAGTAATTCAGTCAATATAGTGCTTGCACTACGGTATTAAGCTAGGGGAAATCATGTTTAGAATAAACCATGTTCTGGTTAATTTGGGAAGGAAGAACTAACAGGATCTGCTGACAGACTGGATGATTGGTGTGAGAAAGAGAGCCATTGGGACCTCATGGTTTCAGTCTAAGAAACTGACAATGGAGGTGGCTCAACTTAGATGGGCAAAGCCATGCACAGGAAATCAGGAACTTGGTTTTAGACAAGTTAAGAATGAACAGGTTGTTATGCACAGAAGTAGATTTCAAGTAGACATTTAAGTATATTAGTCTAGACTCATGAAAATGTGGGGGCTGGAGATACAAATTTAGAAATTATTAGCTTAAAGAAGAATTTAAGGAAACAGGACCAGATGAGTATGTATATAAAAGAGAAGTCTAAGAAACAACAACAACAACAACAACAACAACCCTGGATAATTCTAGCCATCAGGCAAATGAGAAAGAACAAAGCAGTGGAAACTGGGAAAAAGCAGCCAATGAGATAGGAGGAAAACTAAGCAAGAAGGAAAATCTAGGGAAGAAAGGGTTTCCTGGAGGAAAGACTGATGACATATACTGATACTAAACATTGTAGGATAAGGATCAATAACTGACCACTAGATTTGACAATGGTCTTTAGTAATTTTGACAAGATCATTTTTGGTGAAATGATGGAGTAGAAGTCTGATTGGAGTGAGTTCAAAAATAAGGGTGATTTTGAAGATTTATTATTGTTAAGATTTCAGTTCTCTCCAGATTAATCTATAGATTTAATCCAATCCCAAACAATGTCCCGATAAGAAATAATACCAACTAAGCAATTCTGAAAAAGAAGAAAAAAGATGTAGGACTCACAATATCTGACTTTAAGACTTGCTATTAGGGTACAGTAATCATGACAATATGGTAAAGGTGAAAATACAGACAACTGAACAGTATAGAGCCCAGGAACAAACTCAAGCAAAATGGACAACTGATTTTTTATAATGATGCAAAGGTAATCCAATGCATAAAGGATAATACTTTAAATAAATGGTGTTAGAGTGATTGAACATGTGGTATGCAAAAAAAGGACACCATACCTTCTATCATATTTAAGAAAAAAAAAAAAACTCTCAAAACACAAGACTAAACATATAGGGTAAAATAAAACTTTTAGAAGACACATAGAGAAATCTCTTGATGACTTTAATTTAGCCACTATTTACTACTTACACTACCTGTAAATCAAAAAACTGATGAAGTAAACTTCATCAAAATTAAACACTTTTTGCTGTACAAAAGGTACTGTTAGAGAATGAAAAGACAAAGCAGGCAGGAAGACAATTCTAGCAAATACAATACCTAAAAAAGTCTTGTATCCAGACTATATAAAGGACTCTTTTTTTTTGAAGTTTTTTAAAAATTATTTTTTGTAATCTCTAAAACGTGGGGATTGAACTCATGACACCAGAGATCAAGAGTGTCATGCTCTTCCAACTGAGGCAGCTGGGGACCCCAAAGAACTTTTTTTTTTTTTTTTTAGATTTTTTTAAATTTATTTATTTGACAGACAGAGATCACAAGTAGGCAGAGAGGCAGGCAGAGAGAGAGAGGGAAGCAGGCTCCCTGCTGAGCAGAGAGCCCGATGTGGGGCTCGATCCCAGGACACTGGGATCATGACCTGAGCTGAAGGCAGAGGCTTTAACTCACTGAGCCACCCAGGTGCCCCCCAAAGAACTCTTAATACTCAAAACCAAAACAAAAAGAAACAAACCAAAGAAACCCAAACAAAACACTAATAGAAATGAGCAAACTATTTAAACAGATTGTTCATAAATGAAATTCAGATGGCAAACCAGCCCAAGAAATGATGATCAACATTATTAATAGAGAAATAAAATTAAGACAGTAAGATACAATTTCACTATCAGAATGGCTAAAAAATAGTAATAATAATTACAACCACGGAAAATACCAAGAGCTTCACCAGAAGATGTAGAGCAACTGGAATTCCCATACATTGCTGCTAGGAATGCAAAACTGTACAAATGCTTTGAAAAAACAATTTGTCATTTCTCGTAAAGTTAATCATACATTTATGAAATCACCCAGGAACCTTGCTTCAATGCAAGTGAAAGCTTCTGTTTACACTAGTAATATGTACATAAATATTTTTAACAGTCTTATTTATAACCCAAACTAGGAACAACTCAAATGCCTGTAGTGTATACATAACCAAGGATTCTACTCAGCAATCAAATGGAATAAACAGCTGCTACACTCAACAAGATGGATGAAAAGCCAGTGTGTCGTGCTATGTAGCGGAGAATTTTATTTACACGATGTTTTGGAAAAGGCAGAACTGTAGGGAGACAACAGATCGGTGGTCACCAAGGGCTGGGAGAGGGGTTGAGTCTAAAGGAGCAGCCTGAGGGAATTCCAGAGGACCATGGGACTGTTTTATACGTTGACTGGAGCGGAGGTTATACAACCCCACCAAAACTCATAGATGTGTACAATGAAGGAAGGAATTTTACTGTCTGTAATGAGAAAAGAAAATGGGAGGTTGAAATTTGCTCAAAAGATACTGGGAGATTAGAAACTGGGAAGCCAACAAAGAGGATGACTTCAAGGAGTTTGGGTATTACAGGAAAAGAGGAATTAGGGTAGAGCTGCTGGAGAAAGAAGTGGAGTCAATCACTGAAGAGAATGGGGGGGACTGCTGCACCAAGGCTTTAGTGCTCCAGAGGGGATGAAATCGATTGCACAGGTGGAAGAGATGGCCTTTTCTAGGAGAACAGACAGCTAATCAATAGTAATAAAAAAAAGAAGGAAGAGTAGATGGATACGGATGCAGGTGTGTAGAGAGATGGGGTGGGTGGGAGGAGGACGTGGTCTGAGCTTGAGGAAGCTCTCCAGACTTTGCTCCTGTTTTTTTTTTTACAGGGAAATAGGAAGCAAGGTCCTCAGCTGGTAGTGAAGATGGTAGAGGAGGGTGCTGTTAGTCTGAGACTTTGTTTCCAAACACAAGACTGGCGACTGAGGAATGGCAGATACGTAGCACACGTTAGGCACCCCCTACCCTCACTCCTATTTCCCCAAGGCCACAGTGCTGATGGCAGGCATCACCTGTCAATAAAGTAACACTTCCCTCTGAGCCTGGTTGGAGGCTTACCATCATTCTCTACTCACTGTTCTGGCAGCTGCTGCCAGGAGGTCAGAATGGATATAAATTCTAGTTATCCCAGTCACCCAATTTAACTGTGATTTTAAGCCAAATGAATTTTATCTGAACTTCAAAAAATCTAAGTGACTGCTGATAGAGTATGGTTTTGTTTTCTGTCTCTCCTATTATACAGTACCATTTTTAGTGCTTCTAGTGAAAACAAGCATGGGCAGCTGAAAACTATATATATATATATATATATATATATATATATTTTTTTTTTT